CCTCTCATAAAAAATTCATTTAGGTCTTCGACTCTCAGTCTGGTTAGTGGCTCACTAAAAACCGAGTCATACTGGGACTTGAGCAGCACACTCATTTCCTTGCTGTCATCTGTGTAGGACCCATCTTGTCTAAGTAGGGGCCCAATACTAGATGTTGTTCTCAACTTTGATTTGGCATAAGAAAAGAAACATTTTGGGCTTCTTTCAATTTCATTTATGGCTTTTAGTTTTTCACGCATTTCTTGACTCCTATAAGATTCCTTTAGCTTTAGTTCGATGTTTGCTATTTCTCTGACCAGTGCCTCCCTACGTATTACAGATATTGTTGGCCTCTTTTAGACACTCTGTATAGGGGAGCTCCTTTCAACTTTTCTAGTTCCATTTCCTTCGCTTCCTTTTCCTTAAAGGAAATGCCTTGAGCAACCTCGAGTTGCCAACAGAGTTAATTTTTTCCTAGACATAAGATTTGGGTCAGTGTTGCTAGGCTATCTTCCCAGTTTAAAAAAACCCCCATCATTTAGGACGCTGGTTTACTTGGTCCCACCTTATGTTTTTGTTATTGAAGTTGAATTTGGTGAAAGCTCCCTCATGACTGATCACATTTTGTTGGTCTGGGGTCCCGTGCATATATGTCTGAACCTCTATTTTGTTGTGATCTGAGTAGTATATTGTTTTTGATATGGTAATATTTCGTAATATATCAGTGTTAGTGAAGATGAGGTCCAGTGTATTCTCCAATCCTGTTGGCTCTATTATTTGCTGGTTTAAGGGAATTTGGTTTTTCTATATACTAATCGAGCTGCCTCCTGGGGTTATCTCTGCTTTGGCATTATCTGCTACATTCCTCCATTTTAGGTGCCTTAGGTTGAAATATCCCAGGAGCATGATGTTGGGGGCAAGACCTGGAAGATTTTTCCAGAGAGTGATCAATTTTCAAAAGCTGTTCCTGGAACTGTTGGGAAGTTGCATCTGGAGGCTTGTATACAACCACAATGAACAGGTTTTGGTTCTTGATCTTTACTGCCAAAATTTCAACTGTATCACTTGAGGCATTGAGTAGTTCCGAGAATATCAGTGACTATGACGTAAAGGCCAACCCCCCCCCCCCCCATTTACCTGTTCACTGTCACATCTGTATAGGTTATAACCTGGGATGCATATTTCATTGTCAAGGTGATCCTTTATGTGGGGTCTCTGTGAAAACCGCGAACACTGTTTGACTCTGTAAGCAGTCCACGGATGAAAACTATTTTGTTGTTTGTTGCTGGCTTTAGACCCTGCATATTTGCAAAGATGAATGTTATCGTATTGGTGGTATGGGGAAGGGGGTTCTTTTTTTTTCCTGGCACTAATATCTGTTGTTTTGGAGTGGAGGCCATTGACTGTGATTCCACTCCAGAAATGATCGGAGTTGGTGTACGATTTCTGTCATTTCCTCCTGCCAGCTTTTTTCTCCCCTTTCTTCCTCCTGGCACTAAAACATCTCTCTGGAGTAGTTGTGGCTGCCCAGGTTTTCCCATGGTCTAGATATTCTATATCTTCTTGTCCCCTTTATGATGTATCTCTCCCGCCTCTGTTCCGAGTTGTACAGGTCAAGGGACTTCACTATTCCCAGTATAAGGTGCTTTATTGCACTTAACATCATGAAAAGTTCTAGTGTGGAGAATTTTCCAGGTCTACAATTTTGCCTGCCTTGAAAGGGGTTGTAAGTATACAACAGTACTTGAGTCTAGAGTGAATAAGCGATTTGAAAAGAATCATCATAGGCTTGGAATCCCTAGTTTTGAAGGTACTCATTATCCATCCTATCATTTTCCTAGCAGATGTAGTAGAGACATTGTGATCTTTGAAAGTGAGATTCTCTGACATTATCACTCGCACATGATTTTTTTGCTCTATTGTGTGGTTGGAATTTATTTTATACTCCAGTCCAGTTTTTATTTCTTCATGTTTTCCATAGCAAAGTAATTATATTTGTCCTCACTGAACTTCATATTGTTTTTTGGGGCCTGTTTAAAGATTTGGTTAATGTCCACTTGGAGATTTGAAATGTACTAAATGGATGACACTGCCACTGATGATGCCACTGATTCATGTGGCAATGGTATTGGGTGTATTGATGATATGCTGCCACAGTTTGGAAATCTGACTAGCTGGGAAAAATTCAAACAAGTACTACAAGAAACTACCTGGAGTTTACCTGGAGAGAGTTTCGGGGGTCAACGCCCCCGCGGCCCGGTCTGTGACCAGGCCTCCTGGTGGATCAGCGCCTGATCAACCAGGCTGTTGCTGCTGGCTGCACGCAAACCAACGTACGAGCCACAGCCCGGCTGATCAGGAACTGACTTTAGGTGCTTGTCCAGTGCCAGCTTGAAGACTGCCAGGGGTCTGTTGGTAATCCCCCTTATGTGTGCTGGGAGGCAGTTGAACAGTCTTTGGGCCCCTGAAACTATTGTATGGTCTCTTAACGTGCTAGTGACACCCTGCTTTTCATTGGGGGGATGGTGCATCGCTGCCAAGTCTTTGCTTTCGTAGTGAGTGATTTTCGTAGTGCAAGTTCGGTAACTAGTCCCTCTAAAGGATTTTCCAGGTGTATATAATCCATGTATCTCTCCCTCCTAACCTGCGTCCAGGGAATACAGGTTTAGAAACCTCAAGCGCTCCCAGTAATTGAGGTGTTTTAATCTCCGTTATTGCGCGCCGTGAAAGTTCTCTGTACATTTTCTAAGGTCGGCAATTTCACCTGCCTTGAAAGGTGCTGTTAGAGTGCAGCAATATTCCAGCCTAGATAGAACAAGTGACCTGAAGAAGTGTCATCCCATGGCTTGGCCTCCCTATTTTGAAGGTTCCATTATCCATCCTGTCATTTTTCTAGCAGATGTGATTGGGATACAATGTTAGGTCCTTGAAGGTGAGATCCTATGCGACAAATCACTCCCCAGGTCTTTGACGTTGGTGTTCGCTCTATTTTGTGGCGCAGAATTTGTTTTTGTACTCTGATAGATTTAATTCCTCATTTTTACATATCTGAGTAATTGAATATTTCTCATCGTTGAACCTTCATATTGTTTTCTGCAGCCCACTGAAAGATTTGGTTGATGTCCGCCTGGAGCCTTGCAGTGTCTGCTATGGAAGACACTGTCATGCAGATATCAGGGTCAATCCTGCAAAGGAAGACACGGTGCTGTGCTGACATCCTGTCTCTGTCGGATATGAGGATGAGGAACAAGATGGGGAGGCTAGTACTGTGCCATGGTGGAACAGAGCTTTTCACCTAGCTGCTCGACCTTTACTCCCTGGGGTTTTGACGACTACTCTCTGTGTTCTGTTAGTGAGGAAATTATAGATCAATCGACCGACTTTTCCTGTTATTCCTTTAGCGCGCATTTTGTGCGCTATTACGCCATGGTCACACTTGTCGAAGGCTTTTGCCAAATCTGTAATATATACATCTGCATTCTTTTGTCCTTCTAGTGCATTAGGACTTGTCCGTAGTATCCTTAGTTGAGACAGACAGGAGCGACCTGTTCTAAACCCATGTTGCCCTGGGTTGTGTAACTGATGGGTTTCTAGATGAAAGAAGCGATATATGAATACCTGCAAAACACTACTTAACTTGCAAACAACTTGCCTCACACTGCATAAATTAAACTAAATGACCCCAGAAAACTACATAACCAACATTACGTAATTCATAATACAGGGACCCCAATGAAAATAAGTCAATTTGAATTACACGTTACATGTAAAAGTGAGGGGGGGGGGGGGGGGGGGGGGGGGGTGGGATTATTATTATAATCAAAAAGAAGCGCCAAACCACAAGGGCTATACAGCGCTGTATGATAAGTGTAATCACCTAAATTTGTATAATGCATTTATGTGTACCTGTACCTAAATAAACTTACTTATGTACTTACTAATGCTGCATAGCTCAATACTACATATGACTTGCAACACTGTGACAACACTACATGACTCACAAGTCTGACTCATGCTACATGACTAAAAACACTTCATGGCTCAATACAAAACTCAAAACACAATTCAAAACATTATGACCCCAATGGAAGGACCCTAAAGGAAATAAGTCACTGACTTTTTTGGGGTTATCCAAGGTAATTTATATATACAGCAAACTATGTATGTTAATTTCATTTATGTGTACCTGTGCCTAAATAAACTTACTTATGAGGACTAGCAACTCTGATGACTCAACACTACTTATTTATTTATTTATTTTATGTCTTTGCAAACAGTACATTGATATTTTGTATTTACAATAGTGGGTTGCAATGCAAAGAAAGCCTCTATTAAGCCGAGGTATTATGGGCCAACTTAACATTACTGGCTTACAGTCTACTTAACACTAAGGAGTATATCATAGTTGTACAGTAGGATAGTAATTATTTCATAGTTGTACAGTAGAATATTAATTATAAATGAATCAAAATTTGAATAATACAAAGATATATTTATATTTGAAAATGCTTTTTGTGAAAACAATGATTCAATTATATTCCTGTCCTCCCCTCAAGGAAGGTTCCTTGATGTTGGTGAGGGGCTCTTGATTTAGGAAATTGGATCTGTGCTCGTTCCCCGAATTAAGCCTGAATGCCTTCCACATCCCCCTCCCGCCCCAGCCCCAGGCGCTGTATAATCCTCCGCGTTTAGCGCTTCCCTTGATTATAATAATAATAATAATTATATTCCTGTCAACAATGGATAAAAGGGTCAATGTGATTGTTTCGGTTATGATGTGGGAGTACATAGGTGAAAAGTGTGTACTGAGTATTTAGAATTTAGTCTAGGGTGATTAAGGGGCTTTTGAGAAGTCTTAAATTGATTTTCAGACTGGGTTACTTTAATATCTTCATCTATATACTCTATATCTGGTAATACAAGACATTAAACATTTACCACTACTTAACCCAACAAATCTAACGTTAAATCAAAACTTGCTAAATGACCCACACCACAACACACTGACTCACAATACTCACCTGTGGTGCTAACACTCAAACAAGTTTGTGAACATGATAGTTATCACAGAGTAATGACGTGATCAGATGCTTCCCATCCCATGACTGGTTCACTCCAGCATATTTTAACAATTACGGAAGCCCAGATTGATTAGTATTTTATTTGGCCCTCCGGTTGGAAGTGTTTCTTCCTATGCGATAATTATGTTGAATTAACTATCAAGAAATTAAAAGAATTGTAACAGACGTTTCATTTACCGTAAAATAGTTTAAACTAGAGATTTTTGCACCCCGTATTCATTCACCTACTAAGATGAGTCACACTGTATACAAAGCAGTCCATAATTATCTTAGATAACCAGATGTATAACTTGTGTCACCCTTGTTGCACTGCATAACGTCTCACAATATTCATGGTGACCAATTTTAATTATTTTCTCCTGGGATTCTTATTCTTGTTGGATTAGGGGTTTCTGAAGGCCACCAAAGCTGACGCTTAATGAGACGCAAACCAGTGTAACAGGGAACCCATCACCTCAGTATATTTCCAGTGAAATATCTGGGAATCCCCTTGGACCCTGGAGTTTATTACCTTTGTAACTAGTTCGCCTACCATAACTTTGTGGTCCAGTGCCTGGACTCATTATGTACCTCTGTAATCTTTTGACTGCTGCCCACAAGATGGGTACGGGGTGCATAAAAAATATTAAACTAACCCTTGGACCCCAGCGTGTCAGGTGAATTGATAGGGATTAATGTAGTAAAGAAAGCTAATGCCAGACTAAAGTTCCTCTACAGACATGCACAGTGTCTACTTACTGAAGCTCGCAGGACCCTATGTCTAGCTCTTATACAGTGTCATGTAGATTACTCTTGCTCTTCATGGTACAATGCTTTAACAAAAAGTTTAAATACAGACTACAATCATCCAGAACAAGAGAAAAGACAGAGAGATAAGATTTTGTTCGAATTTTTAACCCCGGAGGGTTAACCACCCATGATAAGATAAGATTTCGTTCGGATTTTTAACCCCGGAGAGTTAGCCAACCCAGAATAACACAGAAAGGTCAGTGCGTCATCGAGGACTGTCTAACTTATTTCCATTGGGGTCCTTAATCTTGTCCCCCAGGATGCGACCCACACCAGTCGACTAACACCCAGGTACCTATTTGCTGCTAGGTGAACAGGACAATAGGTGTAAGGAAACGTGTCGGAATTTCCACCCGCCGGGAATCGAACCCGGGCCCTCCGTGTGTGAAGCGGGAGCTTTAGCCACCAGACCACGTCATCGAGGGACTGTTTTATTTTCACTGGGGTCCTCAATCGTGTCCCCCAGGGTGTAATCCACACCAGTCGACTAACACCCAGGTACCCATTTCACTGATGGGGCCATAGACAGCCGGCGTTAAGGAAACACGCCCAATATTTCTACCCTCACCGGGAATCGAACCCGAGCTTGACGTGTGAAGCAAGCCACCGGCCACGGGAGCTCCGTGAGATTCATCCTGGACCTCGATCCAAGAGAGCATGTAGGTCAGGATGAATTACAATAACCGGATATGCTGAATGTTGAAGACAAACTAGAGCAAATTAAGTTCAATCACGTTTATAAAATTGCTGGAGTACTGTCCAGAATATTTTCCTGCCAAGTTTGTCAAGGTTGGGAACTAAAACCAGTATAGTACTAGGGGGAGTGAACACAATTTTGTTGTACACAGAGTAGGTGGTCAGGCTTCAAACACCTTTCGTTATATAACAATAAAAGCCTATACCTCGACAACAACCTAAATTTCAGCACCCATATCCAACACATAACAAAAAATGTATCCAAAACGGTGGGGATCCTCTCCAAGATACGATACTACGTACCGCAAACTGCCCTTCTCACACTATACCATTCACTTATATATCCATACCTCACCTATGCTATCTGTGCTTGGGGTTCAACTGCAGCAACACACCTAAAGCCAATAATAACCCAACAGAAAGCCGCAGTAAGAATAATCACTAAATCCCATCCTGGCAAACACCCCCCCCCCCCCACCACCTCTTCATAACAAACTTACTCTCCTGTTCAAGAACATCCACACTTACTACGTGCAATCTATATCTACAGGACCTTAAATTCCAATATTAACCTTGACCTAAAATGCTTTCTTGATAGTTGTGACAGGATCCACAGGCATAAAACACCAGACACAAACATCTCTATGACATTCCCGTGTTTCGACTAAACCTTTAACAAAAAATTCAATGAATTTCAAAGGGCCTAAAATCTGGAACACCCTACCTGAAAACTCTAGAGCTGCAGACACATTCATCACTTTCAAAACTACAGCTAGAAAACATCTTATCTCCCTGATCACCCCCGACAACTAACTACTGAATAACCACCTGGTGGTTCAAAATACACCTCACTACACCCACAGACTAAAACCCAAAAATTAATCTTAATCTTAAAATAATAAAATCCTAACTAGCCACATAAGTTTGCCTTTGATTACTAAATATAAGACACCTTTATTGTTCCAAAAAAAAAAGCATTCACATTGCCTAAACTCACAAAATATGATGTAGTCACTTAGGCCTTAATACTATAATCTGTAAGGATTTTAAAATGTTAAGAATAAATCTAAGTCTGCTCAAATGCCTAGCCATGCTAGTGTCCTAGTGGCCCCCTACTGTCATTAGCATTTTATAACATGTAAACCACAAAATACCCAAAACATGTAAACCCACATTGTAACCAGATAGAGAAATAAACTTGAATTGGATTGAATTGAATGAATGGAATTGTCTTGAGCAGATCTCCAAGAAACCCAGTATTCATTTTTTCAGGCAATGGGTGGTTCGGGTGTCCGTGTGTTAGGTGTAGGGTAGGGGTGATATCTTCCCCAGATTGTTTCATGGGGGGGGGTTGATAGGAAACAAAATGGTTTTTTTTTTTTATTGATTTCCCAATTTTGTAATTGTTATTTTTTATGTTAATACTATTGACAAAAATGAATTTTTCCCCGTGAAGAGACCCCCTTCCAAGTCCTCCCAATTGAACTGCCTCCCAAACATTTTTTTTCTTTGGCTTGGTTCCGGAAACCCTGGGGTATATTTTGCCAATACATGTTTCCCCCCCTGGTAAATCTATATTATCCTATTATGTGTTGTGTATGATTTGTTACTGGAAGTGAAAATCTTGTCTTTTTGATTACAGTTATATTAAACGTTATCAGACCAAAAATCTAAATTGTTAGTGAAAGATGAGGTTTTTCCCCCTCCCACAAAAAATAAAAAATTTTTTTTTTTTTTCCTAAGTCCCTATTGTAAGGCCCTAAACAATTTTTTGGCTTGGGTTTTTTAAGGTGATTTTTTGTTTTTTTTTGCAGGAGATTTAATAGTTTTTCCCTTGTGTGTGGTGGGGGTTGGGAAAATTTTTTTTTTCCCCCAATCTAAGCTGCCGCATCCCCGGGTGGAATCCTTCTGCTAAAAAACCATTTGTTTTGCTTATACTCCCTCCCATTTTTTTTTTTAGGTGTCCCCCCCCTCAAGGTTGTAAAATCTTCATGTGGTAAGTAAAGATGTTTTTGGGGGGCATGGAAGGTTTTTTGGGAGATTTTTTTTCCCCAGGATAAGTGGTCAATTTTTTTGTTCAAGGCTGCTCTGAGTTTTCCCTGAATTGGGGGGGCGGGGGGGGGGGAAAGTTTGCAAAAAAAACTGGGGAGGCCTTTTTTTGTATACTAAACCCCGACAATGACAAGGTTTTTTTTTGGTATTTCGGATTCCTTTAACCACCGCCAAAAACTTTTCAACTACATCCATTTTTTGAAAGGTGTTTTTTAGTAAAGTTTCTGTGCAAATGAGCCCACACCCCCCTTTGGTGGGACCAGAACAGGCCCCACCCATCCCCCCCTTTGTTTTTTTTTTTTTTTTTGCCCTGTTTTTTAGTCCCCCCTGTCCCGCAAAAATCCGGAATAGGGTTTTTATAACCTGGGGAAAAAAATCCATATTTGTCGTTTTTTTTGTCCCCATAATGAATCGGGGGGGGGCCCCCTTTTATGTTTGTTGGTTTTTTTCTGAAAAAAAATGCCTTGCAAACATTTGCCAATTTTGAACTCCGTTAACAGTCCTTTTGATTGCAAGGAAATTTTTTTTTGTTTGTTTTTTTTTTTGACCGGCTTTTAGACCCCTGGTAAAAATGTTTTTTTTTTTTTTTTTTTTTTGCAAAAGACAAAAATGTCGTTTTATTTTTTTTTTTGGTGGTAATTTTTTTTAGGGGGTTTTTTTTTTTATTTGGGCTTGGCACTAATACAGTTTTGTTTTTCTTTGGGGTAGAAGGCCAAATGTTCCCGTTGCCTTCATTGCCTCCAGGAAAAGTTTGGGGGGGGTGTGTTTTTTCCAGGTGGGTTGTGGGAATTATTGGGTCCCATTTCCCTGCCAGTCCCCCCCCCTTTTTTTTTTTTCCTTCTGCCCCCCTAAAAAAAAAAACCTACCCTGGGTGGAGGTTTTTTGGGTGGGCCCCCCCTTTCCCCTCTTTTTTTTTTTGTTTTTTTTTCCCCCCATAGTCCCCCCTTGGGTGGCTTTGTCTTGCCCGTCCTTCCCCTAGTCCCCTTTAGGAAATTTGAATGTGCCTGGCAGTAATGCGTTTTTGTTTTTTGTAAAAGCATTTTTTCCCCCTTTTCATGGATTGGAGGAAATGAGGTTGAACCAACAAATTTCAACACTTTGGTGGGAGAATAGGTTTTTGGCAAGAAGGGAAGTTTTTGCACTTCTCCTGTTTGGTTCATGTGGGGTGCGGCATTTTTTTTTTGGGGATGGTCCCCCAAAAGGGTTTTATCATGTCCCCACTTTTTGTTTTTTGTTTTACCCAGATTAACCGGGGGGGCCCGCCCCTGCAGTAAACCCCAAGGCAAAATAGTAAATTTTTTTTACATAGAAAAACCCTGTAAACTTTTCTGTTTTGCCTAGGTATTTTTAATTAGTTACCTGCCGTTTTCACTGTTGGTACATTTATTTTTCCCCTGTTTTTTTCCCCTCAATATTTCCCTTTTAACCTAATGTAAAACGGACAAAATCAAGTTTGGGCTTTCAACCAGGTTTTTGCTGTTAGTGGGGGGGGGTCGACACTATTCCCCTGAGGCCGCATTTCCAATTTTTGGAATCC